GGGGGGGGGGGGGGGGGAGAAAAGGAAAAAGCAAGCCAGCAATTCCTCATGGCAGAATTGAGGGAAGCTTCATTCACTCTTAATCCCCTTTCTCTGCCTTCCAAGTTCTCTGAACAACTTTCTGTCAACAATTAAAAACTGAAGGATCATAACCAAACTTAATGGTATGCAAGAGAAAAACTTCGGGGCACCAAATGACATTAAGTCATAACAAGAACCTGGCAAGAGGTAGCAACTAATTTAAAACTGATTCTAAGTTGGAAAACTGTTTAGACTTTCAACATCTGAAATGTTTCTAAAGGACCAGTCCAGGAAAGCTCCAAGGACAGAATTTGGCAGCTCAGCCATCACAGCGTTGTTCCTAATTGTTGCTCCATTCAGGGCTGCCTGGAGCCAAATGTTTCTTAATCAAGGTCCCCTAGGTACATATTCCTCAAAAGCTGGTGCCTGTGAATGAAGGAGGTTTGCACCCCCAAATAATCATTGAATCACCATGGAATTTATACCCCACCGCTAGAAAATCTCTTGTTTTATCATAATTGCATCCAGACCAAAGCTTCCCTTTTATACAAGTCAGTGCACAAGAGATGGGATTTTTTTTTCCTGAAAGTCTGGAGCACGAGGCTGCTCCAGGATCCTTTGATGCTTCAGGTGGAGCAGTCAGTGATGTTGTGGCCCAGCCACCCAGGTCAAAGCGCAAAATTGTGCAAAGCAGCCATCTGTTCATCATCCGCAATTGTTTGGGCACTCTCCATATGCCTTCTGCTCTGTCCTGTAATCCCACTTCAAGGTTATAGCTTTGTAATTTCATTTGTTGCTGCCTTTAAATCCACCTTCTCTCTGTTTCTCCTTCTTCCCTCTTTTTTTCCATATTGCCCATCAGCCCTGGAGGCCCACCCCCACTGTGGATGCCAATGCGTTCCCAAGCCCGTAGCACCTGCCTTGCCCTCTCCCTGAACAGTGTTCGCCGTTGCTCTTTCCACCCATCTGCATGAGCACATGCCGGGTTTCACTCTCCAGCTTTTTAGTTTCCCCCTCCCATTAGCTTTTCCTCTCCCTCTTGTGTCTGTTCTGCACTTCCTCTGTTCCCAAATTCTCACTTTTGCTGTTCCCTGATGTGAAGATATGATTTCTGAGGCACCAAAAAAGAGGGGTTTCCTTTATGCTTCTTTCCTTCCCCCCATGTCTTGCATGTTGGCCCACATGTTTGAAACACTCTATTTTATGGACTTTGGCCCTCTTTTCTTTTTATCTTTTAAACTATTCTGTTACTTCTTGCAAATTTAAAATACCCATTTGGTTAAGATGTGAAGAGAGGTACATGCCAGCGACCTGCCTTTATGGCATGTAGGAGAGAGCCTGTCTTGCTCCCAGGCCATGGAACATCCTCCCTGTGGTTGTGCTGGCCCGCACTTTCTCACTGTTTACAAAATCATTGAAGATTTGCCTCTTTCACCAGGCTTTTAATTATTAGATTATTTTTAGTGCTTCTTGTTGTTGCTGGGAATGAACAGTGTGCTGGGTACTGTAGGTATTATAGTTTGAACTACAAAACTTTGTTACTTGGATTCTTGAGATCACATTTTATCCTATTCCTGTGTTTTATATATGAGTACCATGTGTGAAAGCATGTTCCAAAAAATAAATGCTAGTGTCTCACAAAGTACAGTATCTTGGGATGGTAAAATGAAATCTGTGGTAAGATGTATATTTTCCACAGATATCTCAGCCATGACTGGGAGCACTGTGTCACCATGCAGAAGCAAAGCTTTGGACTAGGGCATCACTAAGAACACCATCAGCCAAAGATGGGAGATACATGATGTGGGAGTACCTACCGTTTATGTCAGGTAGAAAGATCCCAGTACCTTCTTCATGCCTTCAAGCCTTCAAGGGATTTGATTCTGGGAAAGCTAAGAAGACACTGAGTCTTGACTTTGGAGCATCCCATCTGAGAGAAATTTGAAAAGAACAGGCTCTGTGTCTAATGCACAAGAGGCCAAAGCATAGTCTGGGATGGAGGGTCTTCATCTGTAAAGTTCAGCTCCTCTTTAAGGTTGCTTGTAAAGATCTGGCTTAATCTCTGGTGAACAGCAGCTTTCCCCAATCTGGTATCCTCCAATAGGTTGCACTGCAATTCTCAGAAATCTGATTGGTGATCTTGGCTAGGAATTCTGAGAATTATAGATGCACATATCTGGGGGGCTCCAGGTTAGAGAGGTCTAATATATAGAACAGTGCTTGAAGGATGAATTTACCTCTGACTTGCTAACTCCTGCACCTGCACCCAAGAAAATACTGCATTGTCCTGAAAACCAAATGAATTTGCTGTTTTATGTGAAAGATTGACAGTTGCCCCAATCAGGAAAATTTTCTCTAAACTGCTCTCTCTAGATGGGTTGGGGTTGTGACTCTGACTATGGCCAGTGGCAACCAATCCGAAGGCCACTAGTCTGTCTCAGAAAGAGACTTAAATCCAGGTAATTTCTGAGTTGAGCTCCCTTCAATGAGGAAAAGAGGCTATGATATGTGCTACAGATAGTCCTCATTTAGTGTCCACAATTGGTACCAGCAACTCAGTCATTAAGCAAAGCAGTCACTAAGTGTCAGCCTTATGAGGTTGAGTAGACAGGAAACATGAACAGATGAGCTAATTCTACTTTATTGTATTGTTACATTAACAGAATCTTACAAGTCTGAAAGTATATCTCTCCCCTTCCCTGCCCTGTCTCCTTTACAGTCCAAGAAACTAGGGAGGGTGTCTTCTGAGCCTCTTGCTCCTCCCACATTCCTGCTGCAGGCTAAGCTGCCTTTTATCTGACCAATCCCTTGTCTGCATCTCATTGCCCTGTTTCCCAAGGTCATTCCCACATACCATTACACTAAATGAAACTGCAACTGTGCTTATGATCTTATTTAAGCTTTCCTTTGTTTTACAGACCTACAAATATTGTAAATGCAAGGATTGATGGTAAAGTTACCTCTTCATCACCATTGTAACTGCAAAAGGTTGCTAAACAAGGCAGTTGCTAAACAAGGATTACCTGTAGTATGTTGTAAATGAAAGAATAGTTCTTCAAATGATCTGAAAGTCTTTGAACCCTTCCTTGATAGCCAGTAATTTGGGATGACAAGAAGAAGATGGGTTCTCCATTTCTGTCCAAGTAGAAATGTGAGACCTAATAAGGCTGTAGGAGACATGATATAATAGGGTTTTTTATTTGGGGGAAGGTGAGAGTTTTGTAAATACACACACATAACTTTGGATTATTTGTTCCAATTGTCACTTCTATTTTAAATATTACATAAGTGATTTTCAATACTTATAGGTATGGACAAATTTTACAATTGGTTATAAGGGTTGGAAATTGGAGAAGTGCATATTATATCAGAGAAAGTTGTTTTATAAACAAGGGAAAGATGGCAGGAATTTTCAGGACCAAGAAACCAGTAGCCATATGACTGTTGAGTTGAAAAGATGGGAGAAGAGAGCCAGAATTCAAGGTCTTGCTGGAGAATTTCTTGTGTGTGTGGCTTCCTAATTCTCTGCAGTAAATGTACTTATGTAACCTTCTTGAGACTGCTTTGAAATACGGAGAGAGAAAAGAGTCTAATCATCATAGCTGGTACAAAGCCTACACAGTGATTGCTTTTCTTTACTTCCAAACAAAGAACAACATCGTGGTACCAAGATTAAAGGATACATGTCATTGCTTCATTTAAAGATGAAGTGATCAACAGATATAAAAGAGTTAATTATGCTTTTCCACTTTGAAGATTCATCAGTATTAGCAATAAGTACAGAAGGCCTTGCAGAGTAGATTACTGGAGCATTTCAGAATCTCTCACTGTATAGGTGTGTCCAATGTATTTGTGGCATTTATGTGGATGATAAGTTATTTAATATATTTGTCTGCCTAAAATCTTTATTTCTTTCAAGTATTTTTATTTCTGGTGCTTTTCAAGATGTGGACCCTACTTAAATCCTTTGGAAAATCCATATTGTTCTTCAGATGTTTCAGTATACTTATAATAAGTTCATAGATCTGCTTAGAGTAGTAGTATTGGTACCAAACCCACAAAACACTCTGCTTTCCTGCATTTTAATAATGGTTTAGTGCAATTTTATCATTTCAACTAACAATTTATGATGTATGTTTTTTCTGACACATTTGTAGCATTTATATTACATATATCTGGATAAGGATAATTAGTTGCTATTATATTCCACACTGTTAAGAGGAATATCTCCTGGCCATATGCAGTTGTCAGTGGTCACATTATAGACCAGACTTTTTGGACAACTCATGAACCCATTAAGCAAATGCAATTTTTATGTTAATCTTGTAAGTAAGAATGATTACCATATTTCTTTTTACAAAGATCTGCGTGGCCAACTACATTGGCGTTCAATAATCATAAAAACCTGATCTTGTGGACAGTTCTTGAGTTGTGTCTTCCCACTGTAGCAAGCATAGTACTTCTGTGGATCTGGTGGGTAACTGTAATTGCCATTAGATTTGTCTTTACAAAATTCATCCACAATCAAATCACTTGGC